ATTTTAACGACCGTTATTTTTAAAAAAAGACAACGAGACTTTGACGAGTACGACGAGTACGACCAATCAGAAATCAGAACGTAGAAACGTTCGGAATGTTGCACTTTGCATAACAAACTCATTTCACCCTCACCCTCACCCCCTCCTTTCTCGCGATTTGACGTCATTGACGAACCGTATTACATTCAATTAATACAACAATAATTATTTTAAACATTTACAAAAATAATAATAAACAATACACGTTTGAAAAAAATACGTTTTACAAAATTTTTTTTTAACGGGAAGACATTTTTTTTTTTTTTTTTTTTTTTCCGGGACAAAAAAATTCAAGGCACGATTATTTTTTGATTAATAACTTTGTAAAAAAGGTATGAGGAAAATGGTTATTCCTTTTTTCCTTTTTTTGTTAACAATGGAATGACGAATAATTTAACATTTTATTATATATATATATAAAAACAAATCTAATTACCTGAGAGAAACCAACCGGAATGCTCGTACAATAAATCATCATCATCAATAACAATAATAATAATAGTAATAATAATAATAATAATAATAATAAACGCATGCGACAATCTAAGGTAACTCTTTGTCATTTATAGATTTCATTTATCGAGATCTATCAATAAATTCATTTTTAACTCGCAGGCAGACAACTGAAACACGTGACTCTTTTAAATAATAATAATAATAATAGTAACAACAACATCCAAACTCATATAAAAACTTAATCCCAATGATAATAATAATAATAATAATAATAATAATAGAGACTCGGACCTAATATACCGTAAATAATTTATTTATACTAAATGAAAATCATTACGATAAGGAATCCCCTGGATTTTCCACGTGGGTTTCCACGTGTTTAGCCAAATGTTTACTTTTTTCGAAAGTTTCGCCGCAGGTTTCGCACTTGTACCCCTTTTTACAAACGTGATCCTTGAATCCGTCGTGATTTTCGAACGTGTTCTTACATATTGCACATTTAAATGAATTTTTAGGTTTTCTCTTGGGTTCGACGACGGATTTTTTTTCCTCTTCTTCTTCTTCGTCGTCCGCGTGACCGCATTCGTGCTTTTGAAAATCCTCATCGTTGTTGAATATCAAAGAGCAATTCTGACATTTGAGCCAGGGCTCATCTCGCTGCTGTTGTTTGCTCGGAAAATTGATTCCGTGTTGAGTCTTGCGGTGTCGGTACATGTGATACTTTCTCGTGAACGTCTTTTTGCAAATGGTGCAGGGGAACGTACCTTTGGGACGTTTCAATATGGGATTTCCATCTTCGTCGTAAAATTCGTCGCCCTCGACCTCGTCGAAATCTCCCGATCCGTTTTCGTATATTTCGTATTTACCTGAATTGACTTGTTCCTTCGTCAAATTGTGATATCGTTTCAAATGACGATTCAAATGATTTTTCTTACTGAACGCTTTCGAACAAATACGACATTTTGGCATTTTTTTCAAATCGTCTAAATCTATGCTGTCTTTTTCTTCGAGGTATTCGTCTGTTTGATCCCTTTTTCTTTTACCCGTACCTTCGGAATCGTATGAACTTGCCAGAAAATCCCCTCCGCCAAAACTCGTTTCCGCTAAAAATCCTTCCAGTTGAGCTTTTTCTTCTTCCGTCAACATTTTATTATCGTAGTAACTTGTTTCGTAATCATTTCCCGAATCTCCTCCTTCTTCTATACTGCATTCCATTAAAGAATCCGGATAAACTTCTCTTGTTTTTTTTATCGAAACGGAAACGTCAGATTTTTTGTCATTTTTAACATCGACAATGCTGATTTCGCCATATTTTCCATTTTTTAATATACTATTCATTAAAGTTTCGCCAACTTTTGATTTATACTCTCCTCCGTCACTTCCACCGGATATCTCTAACGTTACGGTATCTTTATTTATACTTAACGGTGTGACGTTTGTCATAGGTTTGACAACGCTAACCTGAGGTTTTGTTATTGGATTTTTAAGAATGGTGGTTCCCTTAGGTTGTGGAGTAATGGTCACATTATTTAATTTACTGATATTACAATTTACAGTGAGTGGAATTAAAACGTCTTTTTTCGACTTATCTTTTTGTAACTTGCTACCTGTGGGACCGGAAATAAGTAATGAAGGTGCCACACCGTCGGCAATTTCATAATTACCAGAAAATGCTTCTCGAATGTGTATTTTTTTGTGGCGTGTGAGATGTTCTTTACGCGTAAAAGTCTTAAAACAATGGTTGCAGCAATAGGGTTTAGGTTCGGATTCAGGATCGGCATCGATCCCGTGAGCAACTTTTTTATGTTTTGTCATGTGTTCACGTCGAGCGTAGGCAGAGTGACAAATGTCGCAAACGAAAGGTTTAGTTTCCGTAGCGTCTGCAAAATCTGAAAATCCATAGCTGTTGACGGAATCATCCGGCTCTTCTTTGATCACGACTCCGCTCACGTCGTGACATTGCCTGTGCCTAACGAGATGTTCCTTTCGAGTGAAAACTTTAGAGCATAGATCGCATTGGAAAGGTCGGCCTCCGGTATGAGATAACATGTGTCTTGTTAAATGCTCATTTCTATTGAATGCTTTCCCACATACTTTACACACAAATTTTTTCCCTTCAAAATGTATTTGTTGATGACGTTTTAAACTCGTTCTTCGAGGAAAGAGTTTACCACATTGAGGACACGGATACAAACCGTCAGAAGGACTATCGGTATTGCTATCTTGATCTCCCTGTACGATATCAGCATCCGCATAAGGAATACCTTCTCGTGGACGACCTTGATTAAATAAAAAACACCGACCGCACAGGGAGCAAGGAAATGCTCCTTTTGCAACAATGTACCTTCTGTGAATCACAGAAAATTTTCCCTTGAGTACAGTTCTAGTATTTTGTTGTTTACCCTTTGCTCCTTTCGGATCAACTTGTTTTTCTTCTTGATTTATTCTTTCAAAAACATCCCACATCTGAG